CCTCTTCAACTCTCGGTATCTATCCCATCCCGCACGTGTTGTGGTCGATCGTACCGTTGCGAGGTAGGCAGCCTGTTTTCTCTCCGCTGCGACACTGCGTCGTACCAGCTGTTCTTTTGCACTTTTCGAAAACCAATGGTTTCGGTTGCAGCTGTACGTAAGGAGTTTGATATGCCGTCCCACAGTTCCCTTATACCGAGTTGTTGACGAGTGCTCTCAGAGAGCAGGAGTGCAAGCCGGGTAGAAAATCGGTCGGCTGTCTATTGTGATTGCAGCTTCTCGACGTCGAACCTTCCTTGTGTTTGGTGGCGTGCGGTTATTGCTGCACAGAGGCGGGTGCGAATCTTGGCTGCAACAAGGTAGTGGTCCGAGTCGATTTTAGGACCTCGGAGAGCACGCATGATCGATCTGGTTGGTGGTTTTTCGATCCGGAGACAGCCAGGTACCTTGATGTATTTTCTTATGCTGGAACCTAGTACTACAGATAACCATATTTCGGGGTTTCCTCGTGAAGGCTGAATTTACCGACCGTAGTGCCTAAGATACCTTCTTTGCCCACCCTGGCATTAAAGTCCCCAAGCACGATTTTGATATCGTGGCGGAGCAGCTCTCATAAGGGCGTTCCAAGCACTCATAAAAGGCATCTTTGGTCACATCGTCCTTCTCTTCCGTCGGGGCGTGGGCGCAAATCAGCGATATGTTGAAGAACTTCGCTTTGATGCGGATTGTGGCCAGACGTTCATTCACCGGAGTGAATGATAGTACTCGGCGATGGAATCTCTCCCACCACGAATCCCACACCAAACTTGCGCTCCTTTATATGGCCACTGTAGTAAAAGAATCGTTTCTGGCCACTCCCAAGTGAATGGCGATCAGAGAACTTTCCTCACTTGCGTGAACTTCTACACAAGACTCCATCCTCCATTTTATTTTTTCAGATAATATTAATCCTTTCTTTAAAATATTATTATCATTTTATACAATTAATCTTTCTTTTTCTTTTAGATATTACAAATTCAATGTAATTATTGTTTATTTTCAGGTATTTGTCTTTTATAATCTTTTTTCACTCTTTTATTTTCAGCTATTAATAATTATATTCACTACTAAGTCTTTTTCAAGTGAAATTATTATTTTTTAATTAAATATATTGTATGTATATATAATGTTAGCTTAGATTTATTTATTTGTGATTATTTTATAGTGAACATTTTCTACATATTACATTATTTTCTACACTTTATTGTGTTATTTAATTTTCTTTTTTTGCTGTACATATTTTCAATTAAGTTTTTATTTAAAGAACGAATCCTAAAATACATTCTAGCTATGAAAAACAATTATTTTACTTTGATGCTACAATTAACAAAATTACTTAAATCTAAGTGCTTCTGGACGTAATTTGTACATATGTATATGCAAATCAGTACCATTTAAGTCGTAAAATACTGCTTGCAAGGCTCCCTCCGTCGTTGTTGAGAATCTTCAAGTCGTAATTTTTTTCAATTGGGTCAGCGGAATTTAGATCAAGTGACACACGTTGAAAAATACTACCTGCAAAAATATAATATTAAATATTTGTTAACATGAAAACATTTTTATATAAGAATGTTTTCTGTAGTTAATAAGTAATTCCCTTCCATATCTGGGGTGTTGTCGACTTAAAAATTTCTTCCATCTGTCTTGATGGAACTCCTTCCTCTCAGGGTGATCGGGAAGACCGCCTTTTAACCTGATAACGCCAAACAAATTTTCTAAAACGTCCTGGTTTAAACGAGACTTCATCCTTTTCTGCCCTTCATTAGCCTCTGCAGGAGTTAATCTGGTTAACGTGAGAAAAGCGATAGGTAGCAACTTCGTTAGACTCCGCGAATTTAAAGAGAAACAGTGTTTGGTTATAAAAGAAAAATTATTGTAATCAAAATGCTATAATTACCCATTTCAAACTGCAAATTTCTTTCGAAGGCTTCTGTCGCGAGTGCACAAAAATTAATCCACCATTTTAGTACTGTTTTATCCTAAGGGAAATGGAAAAATCTCCATTTCGTCGCACTATTTTTAACATTGTTATTATTGCATCCGAACACTGCACAACTCATTTTAAAAAATATAAAACTTCACAATTAATACTACACCCGAAAATACAATTCCAATTCACATGCAAAGGCGCGGGCGAATAATAAGTCAACCGTGACGTCATCAAGAACAGCTGACTGAAAGCAAACATGCGCATTGCGTAATCTCCTTCTCTATCAATCTTGATGTTATCTCATCTATAAATTTATGACTTGTGTCCCCATGCATCTTTATTATTATTAGATGTGCATTGTATGTAAATGCATTAGGTATACATATATGTATGTATGTATGTATGTATATTAATATACAGATAGATGTTTATATTTAGTAGAATTTCGGCTTTGCTGATAAGTAAGCATGATGTGATATATGAACAGTAAGTGAAGATTTATTCTAGGATATACTACAGTTCGGTGCCGAAAATAATTGAAATAATTGAAGTCCAATAATTAATCTAATGCCCTTTTTTTCTTCATGACCAACGATGTGCTCACAACTAGATCTAGATTGCAAGGTGATTGCTTATACAAATAATATAGAAGCGTCCTAAATGATTTCTCCCAAGTACCGCGTGTGTACGGGATTTCATGAAAAGAAAAGAGAGCGAAGAAGACGTAGCCTTTTCTCCTCTACTATAGTATAGTTAACCTGAGATCATTAAATGTGCGCTCTTGGCTAGTTAAGGAACACCTCACCTCATTATAAGTGTTCAAATGACCTAAACATCTCCATACATGTATACACCCTCTACCTAGGAAAAACAGGCGCACTCTAGGACAACATACCACATCTGAGAACTGTCGCTGAGATTAATTGAACACAACACCGTTCGGAATCCATATGTATATCTATTTGTACATATTTAAAATTTGATTTTATTTAAATATACAAAAAATTAAAGTAATTGTACACAAAATTAAATAATAAATAATAATAAAGTTTATACCATTTATATTGGTCATTATATTCGCAAATAAATACATATCTTATTAAATATGAATGGTATCCCGTCGAGGTCTCATTTTATGCTTTTCACCCACATTTTTCTATTACTATATTTAGTTATTGTTTAATTGCATACTTAATTCTTTGTATACAACCTACATATGCATATTCAAAGTAATATGTAACGCCACCCTAAGGTGCCCTATAGAAGTTTTTTTAGTGAGCAAGTGGCACATGCCATTGCTTATACAATAATGATGATACGGAACGCTTTATTCTCAATCTCCTCGAAAAAAATCCATATATATATATATATTTACATTTTATTTAATTTTATTTGTGAAATGACTAATATTTATTTTTGTTTTCTTTTAGAACATAAAAATCGAAGCAAATTTGGCGACGATGTCAAAAATCTCCTGAATGCAGTTTTAAGCGATGATAGTTTCTTCAGTTGTAATCACATTACACCTTATGGATATCAAGTAATGCCTTCTTTGACTGTATATCATTCATCATCCACACAGTTCTGTAGTTGAAATTCTTATTTTTCAGCCAGCTTTAAATTGCTGTTACCAATGCCATTGAGCTGTGCATTTATACAAGTACAATTCGTATGGAGTACCCTATAAGAATTCGAACCCATTACAGAGCAAATTAAGATTTCACATCGAGTTCGCTCAATTTTGCTATTTCGCATCATCAAAATTTTCGCAAGCTTCTTGATTGCCCAATTTTATACCATATAGAGCCCAATAAAGTTATTTTTGGGCTTTTTGTCTCCAAATTTTTAATTATTTGTACCCCCAAAGGATCCATCGGATTCAAATCAAGACTGGCCACTTTTTAAGTGCGATTTTGCGTTCTTAAATCCATTTTATAAACGCGAATGCTAACGTTATCTATCCCTAAAATGGCGCCTTTATCATATCACCAAAAATTTAGGGAAACTAGCTGTTTTACAAAACCAAGCAAGTGTTGCAGACCAAGATAACTTTACAGGACTTGCAAGTTTGGCATTCAAGAAGCTTGAATGCGTAATCATACGAAACAGCAAAATTTAGTGAACTCGATATGAAATCGTAGTTTTGAGGTTATTATTTATTGAGAACTTAATAAAATTAAGCATATCAAACATGAAGTTGGTGCGTTTATAGGAGTATGCTATATTATTAAACGGAATTGAATTAAATATAACAACAACAACGAAAACGCAATATGACATAGAATTTATTTTAAGTAACCCATTGTTAACAGAGAGAAGGAAGCATAATTAAAATTAAGATTATATCGAATATGTGGCAGCGCAGATTACGACATACGATTAAAAAATGTTGACATTAATATTGTATATTAATGTATGTATGTATGTATTATGATAAACCCTAATAAAACTACAAAGATGTTATACATACATATATCTTCAGTGTTTAGGCAGGTATTCACTACACAAATAGATCATCACAAATGTAGACGCATAAGATTGAAAGACATTTTTATTTAATTCCACCCGTACAGTATCTTTCTCAATTCGAACATATATATTTTTTTCGTTTTGTCTTGCAGATTGATTTTGTAATACACTTCGATAAAAATCGTAAGCCTATTCCAGCTCCAGCAGAAACAACAATATTAGATCGCATAACAAAGTAAGTTTTTTTTTTATTTTATTGTTTATGCACTGAATCGTATAATTAGTGATATTATATTTAAATTAGATTTGCAATACTGTTGCTGCGATTAGATTCTTTTTGTGAAAACGATCTGACAGCATTGCGTGGACCTGAACACCTTAAAACAAAACATTTAGAAATGATGGGCTACAAAGTGATTCATATTAATGAGCACGATTGGAACACAAGATACATGAATTCTCCTGAAATCAAAACAAAATATCTTAAATACCTGCTGCAGATATAAATAAAAAGTTATATAGTGTGTATATATCTAATAAAATTGTTTAATTAATTATTCTTAATGTTCATGTTATTTGTAAAATAAATTCTTATTTGATTTTAACCATTTACCATAAATCAAAATGTTGAAAAGATGAGCATGGCGCGATTATAACTGCGATAATAAGGTTAACCTAATATATGGGAAGGGTAATAATAGAAAAATAAATAATAATTTTGAGAAAAAAGTGTATATTGTGTAGCAATTTTATATATGTAGATATTTTAATAACTCTCTGGTAAAGAAAAGCTTGTGCCATTGTTAGTTTTTGCTAATATATTTGGTTTTGCAGTATAAAGCACACAAGTGAAACTTTTTATAGATAGTAGTCATTCAACTCAAATTTTTCGGAAAATTATTCGATTTAGGTCATTAAAATCGTGGGTTTAATCTTCATTTAATAAGGAAGATGATGATAGATCACAAGATATGCAGCAATTATTTTATTACACTGTGAGTATCAAACTATAGAATACAAAAATAGATACAATCATTCAGATGATATGCACATGATAAAACCAGTAACAATATATATTTAAAATGTTGAATTATTTTGAATTTCAATTATTCCATTATTAACTTAAATTTAGCCTTTAGTCTCACAGTTATTAAATGTAACTAACATTTTATAGTAACAAAAATAAGTAAACAATCTAGGAGGAAGCATCGACACCAACGAATGCCTAAGTTTTTTAAGATTTCGATCTTAAATTTTGCACACATCTCTTTCTCCCAAAGAAGCTGCTCATTTGTCGCTCAACCGCCTATATCGTACCACTATAAGATACAGCGATCAATTTTTCCATTTTTATTTTTTATTTATTTATTATTTGAAAATACGTGCAAAGACACGTAAAAAAATAATAGCAACCCTGTGCTAGCTGTCAATTTTCTTAAATCCATATTTTGGTTAAATTGTTGAGGAAGGTAAATTTTAAATAGATTTTATAATTTCTATTTAAATTATAAAAATTTGTCACAGTTTTTTTGCAAAGAATGAATGCAGAAGGTGCGCCAATTCACACTAGCCATGCACAATAGTCATTTACAATTAATTGACCAGATTCCCTTGCAAGACCAAGAGAATCCCACTTGTGTGTTTGTGATTGCGCAATTATTATGCGTACACACAAACGTATTTACATGTAGTACGTACCCCATCGATCACGCCCAACAACTATTCAAACTTTTCAATTACCTCACAAATTTGAGATGTCTGAAAGCAAACCTCACGGTGCAAAATCGGTTGTATACAAAAATATATATATATTGTTTTAACTAATATGCTGTAATGCTGCTCCTAAGCATTTGATATCCTAAAAATAAATAAAATTATTACATAACGTATTATATACGCAAAAAGCACCTTTGAAATCAACGTAGAGATGGTGTGTGTTGATCTTCTTTTCACGGCTCTTTTTGAAGATAAAGCACATGGTGAATATTTGGTCAGTTGTTGATTGTCCAGGCCTAAAGTCACACTGATAAGGTCCAATCATGGTGGGATTTAATCTTTCACACAATACGCTCGATAGAACTTTATATGCGATGTTGAGGAGACTTATCCTACGATAGTTGCAGCGTCGATTGTGGGGTCTCCCTTTTTGTGGACAAGGATTGGGGGATTTCTTTCGTCTGACCATATTCTACAAAGAAGCTGATGCATGTTTCTTATCAGCAATGGAACATTCGCTCCATGTTATGGTTTCACTGCCTTTCAGCAGGCTGGGGAAGTGTTCTCTCCATAATTTTAGTATGCTCTGGGCATCAGTGACTAGATCACCTTTGGGGGTTCTACATGAGTATGCTCCGGTCTTGAAACCTTCTGTAAGCCGCCGCATTTTTTCGTAGAATTTTCGAGCATTACCCCKGTCGGCCAGCTTATCAAGCTCTTCGTACTCACGCATTTGGGCCTCTTTCTTTTTCTGTCTGCAAATGCGTTCGCTTCCCTCTTCAACTCTCGGTATCTATCCCATCCCGCACGTGTTGTGGTCGATCGTACCGTTGCGAGGTAGGCAGCCTGTTTTCTCTCCGCTGCGACACGGCACTCCTCGTCGTACCAGCTGTTCTTTTGTGTTTTCCGAAAATCAATGGTTTCGGTTGCAGTTGTACGTAAATAGTTTGAAATTCCGTCCCACAGTTCCCTTATACCGAGTTGTTGACGAGTGCTCTCAGAGAGCAGGAGTTCAAGCCGAGTAGAAAATCGTTCGGCTGTCTGTTGTGATTGCAGCTTCTCGCCGTCGAAGTTTCCTTGTGTTTGATGGCGTGCATCTTTTGCTGCCCAGAGGTGGGTGCGAATCTTGGCTGCAACAAGATAATGGTCCGAGTCTATGTTAGGATCTCGGAGCGCACGCACATCTAGAACACTGGAGACGTGTCTTCCGTCTATTACATCATGCTCGATCTGGTTGGTGGTTTTCCGATCCGGAGACAGCCAGGTAGCTTGATGTATGTTCTTATGCTGGAATCTAGTACTACAGATAACCATATTTCGGGCTCCGGCGAAGTCGATCAGCYTCAACCCATTTGGGGATATTTCCTCGTGGAGGCTGAATTTACCGACCGTAGTGCCAACGATACCTTCTTTGCACACCCTGGCGTTAAAGTCGCCAAGCACGATTTTGACATCGTGTCGGTCGCAGCTCTCATAAGTGCTTTCCAAGCACTCATAAAAGGCATCTTTGGTCACATCGTCCTTCTCTTTCGTCGGGGCGTGGGCGTAAATCAGCGATATGTTGAAGAACCTCGCTTTGATGCGGATTGTGGCTAGACGTAGATAGTACTCGGCGACGGAGTCTCTCTCCCACCACGAATCCCATACCAAACTTGCGCTCCTTTATATGGCCACTGTAGTAAATGCCACAAGGACCTACTCGTCTCTGTCCTTGTCCCGTCCATCGCATTTCGTGGACGGCGGTGATGTCAGCTTTATTTTCACGAGGACATCAACCAGGTGCATGCCCTCAAAACATAGTCCTTAATTCGTTTGCTATGTTCGTCATCAAAAGGGGGGTCCCTCATCCGAGGCTATTGAAAATTTTTCTTGGGTGTGTTTTTTTTTACGTGGCGGGTCCCAAACCCAGCGCACAACCCTATGTAGGAGATATTTCGGCGGCTTCTCACTTTAGCTCGCCTTCAAACGGATGTTCTTAGGCTACCCAGAGGATACGTGGTCAAAGACCGGAAGTCGTGAGCTGCTTGAGTCATATGTAAAAGAATCGTTTCTGGCCACTCCCAAGTGAATGGCGATCAAAGAACTTTCCTCACTTGCGTGAACTTCTACACATGACTCCATCCTCCATATATGTAAGTGTTAATAATTAAAAGAAAATTTAAAACAACTACTAAAAATTTGTAAAAAAAATAAGAAGTAAAAATATAACTCTGAACTGTGGGACGGAATTTCAAACTATTTACGTACAACTGCAACCGAAACCATTGGTGATCGGAAAGTGTAAAAGAACAGCTGGTACGACGAGGAGTGCCGTGTCGCAGCGGAGAGAAAACAGGCTGCCTAGCTCGCAACGTTACGATCGACCACAACACGTGCGGGATGTGATAGATACCGAGAGTTGAAGAAGGAAGCGAGACGCACTTTCAGATAGAAAAAGAAAGAGGCCGAAATACGTGAGTACGAAGAGCTTGATAAGCTGACCGTCAGGGGTAGTGGTTGAAAATTCTACAAAAAAATGCGGCGGCTTTCAGAAGGTTTCAAAACCGGAGCATACTCTTGTAGAACCCTCAAAGGTGATCTAGTCACCGATGTCCAGAGCATACTTAAATTATCGAGGGAACACTTCTCCGGCTTGTTGAATGGCAGTGAATGCACAACGCCAGGAGGAGGCGAACCCGATTCCTAAATCGATGACGATGGAGCAGATGTTCCATTGCCCGACCAGGAAAAAGTTCGAATAGCAATTACCCGCCTGCACAACAAAGCGGCGGGGGCCGATGGATTGCCGGCCGAGCTATTCAAACACGAAGAACTGATAAGGAGCATACTTTGTAAAATACGGTCGGACGATAGCATGCCCAACGTTGGGAATTTAAGTGAAAGATTAAAGGCCACCATCAACAAACTGATTGCTGTAGACCTGGAAAATCAACAACCGACCAGAAATTCACCATGCTCCAAATCTTGGAAAAGACTCGTGAAAGGAGAATCGACACACACCATCTATTCGTTGATTTCAAAGCTGCTTTCGACAGCACGAAAAGGAGCTGCGTTTTTGCCGCGATTTCCAAAAGCTCCGTCAGAATC